TACAAGCAAAATCAATGGGAACTACTTAACACATCTGCAACCAACAACAATTATTTAAGATTTCAAGAGGACTTTACAATTTAAATTCACAAGAGCTATAGATAAACTGACAATGCCCACGTGCATTGCAGTTGGATGTTGTAATACATCGGGTAAAAGTGAAAAAAAACCCAGTTATTTTACCTTTACGATTTATGATCCACCACGGGTCCATGGTTGGATTGCCAACTTGAAGAGGGAGGATTTGCCATCAAACTTCTAGCCAGAGAAAAAACACATCATTAATCCGTTACTCTCTGCTTTGCATAGTACACTGTTTGTCACCATCATGGATAAAAGCGCATTGTGACAAACACCAGATACAGCATTGGGACTTGCTCAACGGCTGATACCGCACTTTGATGTCACAAACCAGTTGGTCGCAGTAGTGCTCTTTGACAAACATGGTGTCTCTGGTAAAGCACATTCAAATGAAATTACTCTCAATTAAAACCACTTATCATATGTTGAAAAGTATGCATTAATTTCCTACTTAAAGTACTTTCAGAAGTTTGTATTCTGAATGTGACCTGACTTTTCCTTTAATAGTTTGGGTGACTGTAGTCACTGGAAAATTTAGCTTCTTGGAAAGGGTTTTATAGCTATTACCTCTAACACAATCGTCTATCATTTTCTCTCTAATCTCCTGAGACAACTCTTCCCTTTGTTTCCTCTGGTCCATATTGATTGTGGTTCACACCATGTCACCAGACAGCACACTGACTACCTGTAGCCTTATATATAGGCACACTCTTACTGATTGCAGGATTGTAGACAACTGTGATGCTAATTATGGACACTCTTTGATTTAACATGGTCCTTTGGTCACATTAATTTCATAATTTTCCGGGGGTACCATCATTGTTGTCCAGGCCTGTTAGATCACTGTTCTTTTTCTTTTTTTTTTATAAGTGTGTTGAAGCATGGTTGGAAAGCAATAGTTGATTTTCCTTTGTTCATTTTGGTAGAAATTGCATTTATTTTTGTTAAATTCAAGTTATTTCTGTGACCACTTTTTGCCTTTTCTTTTGTTCTTTTTTTTTCTTTCTTTAATTTATATTTCACATTTATAAAGCAAAGCCATTGTAACACAAACATTAGCTCCTTCCCTGGACAAAAGATTAAAAAGGGACACAGGCTTCTACGTCCTTTCCGACTACTGAAAATGAATATTAGAATTGCCAGCCCCCTCATTTGGCTATAGGAATATTTTATTGAATGCTTCAAATATTTACAGATTAAGTTGCGTGAATGGTTTCCAGAGTTTCAGTATGACTAACCCCCACCTGTTAACTCTACAGGATACAGTCAATAATGATAGGCCATTGTGCTTTCCGTTTCTCACAGTCAGCAGTGCAGGAACAGTAGTCTAGCAGCCAATATGGGCATACTGCAGAACTGCAATGAAAAGCACAGTGGTGGGCTGTGAGGGCTTTCAAGGCCTTCACTGCTGGCCTAAAATCCATCAGAAACACTAACCTACATTCACAACCTAAACTTTATTTTTTTTCTTTCCAACTGTTTTAATTTATTCTTTAATCCATTCTCTTAATTTTGTAGTGTTTCTCTTGGCTGCGCTGCTTCCATTAGATTAATGGGGTTGCTATATTTTTTTGTCCAATCAGATTTCAGCCTCTGTCTATTGCAATGTTGATCAAATCTGTCCAGGGCCTTCCGAATCAGCAATGCTGGCTGATCTTACCTTAACATCAGATTTGCCCCACTGGGCTAGCGAGCAGGCCCACCACTACATCAGCATTTTCTGTCCCCTGATTGGTCAGTTAGAGCTAAATTATTAAAGCCAACTTAAGCTAGCAACAAACTGCATTTTAGATTGACTTTTGCCCAAAGATTTTTTGGCCTCAATGGCTGATACTAAATGGGGATCCTTAGACGTCCTGCACAAAGACAGAAGGATGGAATTTGTTTACAAATAATCAGCATCTCTGCTCAGTGTGATATATATTATTTTCATGCTGTATGCACTATTTTGTCTGATAATTGATGTATATTGAATCTGAATAGCTACCGATGATGTAAATATTACACAGCTGTGGTTATAAAGTAGAGGATTGTAGTTGTCTTAACTGGGCTTGTTGCTTAATCGACTTCTGTAGTCACCCTCACACTAATCTTCCTCTCGATTATCTCTGCTTATTACATTTCATAGTTGAATACTATTGGGGGTTTCTGTTATTAAAATGCAAAAGGAATGATATTAACCCCTTGACACCAACATTGCAAATTGTCTTTATATTTTGATATCAAGGTATAAGAAGTAGATAAAGTTGAGGGGTGTCCACAGAAGACCATATGCACATAGAGGCGTTTACTAACAAATAAACAAATGGTTGTTAAAGTAACTGTGATTTCATCTGCATCTCTTTATGTATGAATTACTCCTCAAACAGTATTTGATGCAAACTAATACAATCAGCATATTTACTACATCTGCTTTTTTTTAAATATCACAGAATAAAACAAGATTTGTGACAAAAACACATCTTTCAGCATAATTCTCATTTTTCTTTGGTGTCTAAAGAAAGTGTTTATTTATTTTGGCAAACATTTTAACATTTATCTCATTAGCTGAAAAAATTATCCAGATGATTTCTTTTTAATGTAACCTAAAAAGTTTATCTTGACCTAAAACTCCTGCAGTACTTTTTGTTATTACACATACAAAAAGAGTAAAATACCTACGTTTTATTTGCATCATGTTAATACATATCTTTGTCTGCAAAAATTAATTTTAGTTTACTCTTAATAGCAGCACTTATGTCAGTTTTTTTCTTGGCTTTCATACTGAAAACTCTGAGTTTTGAGTCAAACAGTTTGCTGGGCTTAAATATGACCACCACTTCACAGCTCTTACCCTTTTTTAATTTGTTTCTCAGACCCAACAAATGTGGAGAGACAAATTTGTCTGTAGCTGGAAATCTGACAGATTGGATATGATGTGGTAAGGGAATCAAGTACAGAAAAAGACGTTGTACCTCATCCCCTAGACAATAACTGAATGTAATAGACCATCAGACCTGGTGGAAATAAATTGGGTGAGATTCAGTTTTTCTGTATTGTTACACTTCAGCTTTTGCTGATTTAGACCTCTGTTTTCCTCTCCATGCAACATTCTATTGTTTGCCACAAAGAAGAGAAAATAAGTAGGACTGGGATTGATGGGAATGAATAAATCTTCCGAGGTCATTGACGGGTCTGACTGAACGATAACAGAAAAATTTGCATCAATATTGAAAATGTTGCCTCGGTCATTTACCCTTTGAACCAAAAGTCCCACAATGAGTCATTTTCATGGAGTTAGACATTCAGTCCCAGTTTAAAAAATCACTTGCATATATTGGTAATGTGCTATGAATGATATTTTACCCCTGTTTAATAAAAACAGGAAACATTCATCTAAAAATGTCATAAGTGTACTAAGTATGGACTAAATATAATGATGTTAATAGTGTATGAAAACCAGTCTGTGTAAACCACCACTGCATGGTTCCAAGAAGCAAAAGGTAAGTCCAAAATCTGTAAACATGGCTCATGTTGTCAGGTTGAGTGGTTTGAAGATGACCCAAATGCAGAGACTGAAGCTGAGGTGGTTCTTGCAAATTTAATATCAAATAGGTAGCAACAGAAGCAAAAAAGACCAAAATACAGAAAACGTTACGGAAAACTCACATGAAGGGCAAAGAAATTATGATGAGAAACCAGAAAACAGTGACTGAACAGGAGGTGTATACATGGGAGACAGAAACAAAGACCAGGCAGAAGGTAAAGGCAGGAATTACACAGTGTGACAGTCAGAAAACTCGCTTGCAGGGTGGTTGATGCTTTAAACTCTGATCACTAACACACTAAAGTGTTTTGTTCCCCCAAAAGACTTTAACCTGAACCTCCAAATCCCAGTCCTGCTTTGAGAGAGAAAAATCTGAGTGTCCCTGAACCACAGAATGTTTTTTTTTGTTTCACTTATTTCAATGGGTTTTTAATTTCACTGCAAAAACGTGTTGTGCTTTTTCTTATTACGTTTATCTATAAACTGTGTCCTGGGGACTAAATTTACTGTGAATGAACAATTGGCAAAGCCAAGCCTGTATGCCAGTGAGAGTGTACCTGTGACCGCAATGCACTACTTTTGATTAGATTAGTCTGAAAGAGACATCCATCCTTTTAGTCCCAGCCCTCTTTCCCTGGTAAGGGGCTGCATTATTGATCTTGAACGGCTCCATTTCCTTTCTCTGTCCGAACTTATTAGATGTTCAACCTTTAACCAGCCCAGCTTGATCCCTCGTTCTCATTCTCTCTCTTCACAGTTCCCTTTTTGGCTGTCTTCCGTAGTTTTGTGTTTTTCCTAACCATTTGTCCATTTTCTGCCAAACTGCTTATCATATCTTGATCAACACACAAATACCATTTCTCTCTTGTCCTCTTTATAACTCTATTAGGGCTAGGTCTTCTCCTCTGGTATTTTACTACCGTGAGCACCACCTCTGTCCAATCTCTTTAATCAAGTCCTCTCTCTATTTCTCACAACTAAGATTTTATTACAACTGAATTTAAGTAGTCAGGAGGAGTGCACTGCTTTTCATTTTCAGAAATAGTAGTGTTTTTTTATTTTGCAAAGAAATAATGCATCAGAAAGGTTATAGGATCTACCAGTTTAGTTGGTGACAGATTGAGCACAACTAGCATATCAAAAGTGTTCTTCCCCTCTCAAGATTTCTACAACACTTTCAAGTACTGGATAAATGTATTGCCTCGGAAATATTTTATAACACTGAAACACTTTTTAGAGTGCTGTTGATTAATGCTGGCAGAAAAAAAAAAACATCTTGTCTGCTCTTCTACATTTGAAAAGCCTGGCAGTGTAGATAAACAAAATAAATAAAGTAAGACAGAAGCAACTTTTTTTCCTACTTGGTCACACATTTCTATCTGTGTTTCTACAGGCTCTCTACCCCAGCCCAGAGGAAGGCTGGCAAATCTACAGCTCAGCACAGGACGCAGATGGGAAATGTATCTGCACCGTGGTCGCACCAGCCCAGAACATGTGTAATCGCGACCCACGCAGCAGGCAGCTCCGCCAGCTCATGGAGAAGGTGACAGCTGTCAATAACACGCACAATCCAAGACTCCACTGTTGCCCACATAGACACAACAACACAAACAGATACTTTGTGCTTAGCGTCTGACGCCGTCTGTCACATGCAGGCTGCTGAATTGTGCCACCTCCTTCAGCTCATCGCTAATCAGTCAGAAGTAATATGATTTTCAGTTTTAAGTATCAAAGTGAGAGATGGATTAAGAACTCCTCTAAGACACATTGCCTTTCAAGTGTTCTCATGCCATTTGAACATCATTTCAATTACAACCTGAATTACAAGCCCCTTTGAAAAATATCCACTTGAATGTTACACTGTTTTGTGATACACAGTGAATATTAGTGCGTGTCATGGACAGTGTTCTGAGATGACAAAGATGTTCAAAGCCAATATAAAAACTCCTTAATAGTGGGGTAGAATTACACCTTCTGTAGGTGAAATCTATAATCTAAATAGTTTGTTTTCTGAAGGCTGCATTAGATTTTATCAAGAGATATCAGCCTGAAAGAAGAGGAATATATATGTGCATCACATTACTAGATGTTTACTTCTAGACAAAGAGAAAACTATGTATTATATGTTTGTTTATGCATCTGCTCATTGAACCTTTTAGTCACTAAAGCTTCAAGCATACAAACACACACTGCAAAATTTCCAAGCTCAGGAGGCTTACTGACCTACAGAGGAGTGTATGCAAATGTTACATCCTGTTAGAACTCCACTTATTCATGGCAGACAGTTCTAGCCATGAACTGATGCTTGTTGAGTCTCCAGATCTGGAGGCCATACACCTACATCTTTTTCTTCTTTACAAGTTAAGTAATATAAGCCTTAGAGACACAGATAAATACAATGGAACTGAATGGTAAGATATGATTCACTTTGCTGCCAGAAGCAGATATTTTGAACAATTTCAACCGGTGCTGCTGTAAAAAGGAGGCTCCACCTAGTATTTTAAAGCAGATAGAAAAGGGGGGGGGGATGGATTGACATTGATATGGTCTTTTGAGAAAAGACAGATGCAAACAAAGATACTGGAAAAGATTCTCAGAGCTCACTGATGAATCAGTGAGATGCCTGCATCCACCTTCATTCATTCTCTATGAAGTTTGCCTCTTCCCCTCTGACAGTATCTGTGTCCTGATGTTTAAAGCATGTTTACAGAGACAAAATTCGCTCTCCCACATGCTTCACTACATGAATATTCTAACAGGGGAAAAAAGCATATCTTGGCACAGAGACAGAATGAATTGTTGCAGCTTGTGATAGCATTAGAAAGATTTTGTGAAATCTTAAGCAAGTAGAGCACAGAAATACGACAGCGTTGATTATGAAAGAGTTATCAAGTTCATACACACCTTTCACAGGAGACTTTTATTATATCTTGTGTTGTTTTGTTAATGCAATTATATAATTACTGTCATATAATTATATAATAGTTTGCATATACTTTAGATTAAAGGAACCTTTTCAGCATAACAACCATAACCATTTATTAAACATACTTAGTCTGCCTTCTTGTAATAAAAGGAGTGTAAAAAAATGGACTGATTAATGGTCTGATGTAGTATTCTAATCCTAAATGTCATGTTTTCATTTGCTGTTGAAGGAAAATTATTATAAATAATGGAAATAAAGGGTTGAAAACACCCTGTGTGTAATTAATCTACATAATGTGTTTTATTTAGTGAAGTAAATAACTGAAATTAATTATGTTTCATAATATTTATTTAATATGAACATACATTTTGTTCATGTTTTTATTGGGTTTATGGAAATATGGATTAGGATCATTGTTATTAGATTGTTTAATGACTTTAAAACTTTGTAGATAATGTACTAAAATCAAAGGCACCATGATGTAGACTTACTGTAATGCACCCCTCAGAAAACTCTATCATAAACATTAAAGCCAGCTTTTAGAAAAAGTCACAGCAAAAATAGAATATTATATGCTCTATGATGTATTATTTATCACTGTATTGCATTTTGTTATTAGGGTGTTTTCATTACTGTGTGTCTGCATGCTTTCTGTACTCACTGTTGCCTGAAGCAGGCTTAATGAGGACACCCAGGGTCAGCACTATTTCAGCTTCACCGGAATAAAAGCTGCAAAATATAAAGCTCTGTGTGAGTCTGCTTGTATGTGTGGTCCCAAAAGAGCAGCGCCCACCAAGACATCCTCATTTGAACCCAGAGCATGAGGGGGAATTGTTTGAGTCCAGATTCACAACTGACATCAGGAGCCAAAGCTATGTTAGCGATGTCAAAACTGCCCTCTGTTCAAAGAATGTAAAGTAGGTTTTTACAGAATTTTTATTCAGCTCTCTCTTAGCCAGATAAAGAGCCTGACCCTGACGGATGACAGCGAGGCAATAGTCGCCGCAAATCTTTGAACATCTCCTCCCCTTCTGACCTCACTGTCTGTCTGGCTGAATTGAGATGAAATCAGATTAAATATGAGGCAGAAATATGGTTAGACATACTCACAAACAAGCCTGATGCAGAATGAGTCATAACACTGGGCATGAAGCAGACACACCTGCGACTGTAAATCTGGGACACTGATGATGAGGATTGTCTTTTATTAAATAAAAAGAGGATGCAGGAGTACCAAATGTTAATGCATCAAGTTGACAAAGAAATTGTTTAGACTTTGGCTGCTGGAAGATTTTATTCCTTAATATCCCCCTGCTTATTCCTTGTGTTCCAGTTCAGGAAAATAAAAAGTTTAATTGCTAAATATTTTGTGACCAAATACTCCTCTGCTAGTTCACGACGTGCGTGGGAGTAACACAGGGTGAGGGAAACTGTGGGCTGAGCATGAAGCATCGAGTAGGCTGTCATGGATCAGGCAGGCAAGGAAGTGTGGTGCAAAACAGACTTTCATGCCAAGCTGCAACCTTTCAATATTGGGTCTGGTTTTTTTTTTCCTTCATTTCATTTTGAATTTTTCTGCCGCCATCTTTATGGGTTTGCACCTGTTTAAGTGGGCTGCTGAACATATGCACATACAAGTCTCCTATATGCATGACAACCCTTAATGTTTGGACGAATTCTGGTATGCTTTGTGCAATCTACAGGAGATGAGGGGGTGTGTGCTAGGCAGTAGGCTGATTATGCAGCAGCATAGTGAGCTGTCAGAGGATGAGTAAGCTCAGTGCTTAACAAAACTTTAACTAAGTGCCAAACTAAATTGTCTAAGAACAGTAAATGCCTACTTAGCAGAGTTTCCTTCGCAGTGAGGTGTTTTCACATATTATTTGGATGAACCCATTAACCGGTGCACACTCCACTGTACTGGATGTCTACTAACTTTGTTTAATGAGTAGGTATAAACTCACTGAAGAGAGCATAGTCATGTACTCACCCCTTAGGAACACAAAAATAATGTATTAATCTTCAAATAAAGGAGCGCATGAAGAGCATTTGTTGTGATAGTGTTTACTTAGTTCCTTTAAAGCCTGAAGATAACTTTTGCAACAGACAAATAGGCAGATATAAACATTTTTGCTTCAGCCTCCATCAACTTACCAGCTTCTCTGCTCTTTTGCACACTTGTTCTTGGAATTATCTTTTTTTCTTTTCTTAGTACACTTGGACTAAAAAATTGCTCATTTGATTGGCCGTATGACTTGTTTACCTATTGTGTGTATGCACAATATCATACATACAGTCACGTGATCTTGTGAAGATAAATGTACAAAATGCTTATGTTTTCAAACAAATCGACCAAAGTCAAACTGGATTAAATATAATCAGACAAATCAGATTTTGACTTTAAAAGATCCGATTAATATGTTTGTGAGATCAGGCTGACACAGTTCTGTGGCAACAAGTTATGCTTATAAGGCATCCTCTCAAATCTCAAAAATAACAATTTAATATGAAGTATAATTTTATGGTAAAAAGGGTGACTGTTGTTGAAAGGATTTTAGGAGTTACAAAACCAGGATGATGTCCAAACTTTCAGGTAGAATGTAGTAATCATGCATTATTTGAATAAATAGGTAATGAACTGCACTTTCAAACAGTCACATTGGTTATTGTTTCCTAATTAATGTCAACAATGTCTGCTGTAAGGAGGTCATACTACATGAAATTTAGGTATTTGAAGTTTGGTATTTCTGGTAAACTTGTACAGTAGCTAGGTGTTACTTTTATTTTTGTTTACTTCCATTGGCAGTCCAGTTGGTGGCAGTGTAAAGTATGTACGTATAAAAAATAATCTAGTTTATATGCATGTATGCTATCAATTGGACATAAGTGATCAGTAGTGTTTATTGATTGCAATAAATGTCTCACACTGATAAGAATTGTGATTAATCATGACAATAAATAGAGTTGTTACTTATATGGAGTTTATCCTCCATGTTTTTTAAGTATAATTAAAATACTTAATCTGAATGGTGTAAAGAAGTATATTGCTTGGTGATGGATATTTTTTTTTATTTTTAGGAGTATAATCTGTGTTTTACTGAGCTGTGACTGTTTACATTATTGTGGTTTGCAGAATATTCTATTTCCAAACAGAGATTAGAATACGTTTTTAAAAAACATTTTATGTGCACTCTTATCATTAATCCAAGAAACACAACAGAATAAAATACTAAAAAAATTAGTAAACACTATCATCTTCATGACTTATTGTTTTTGCTTTGCAGGTTCAGAATATTAGCCAATCAATGGAGGTGCTAGACCTGAGAACCTACAGAGATCTCCAGTATGTAAGGAACACTGAGAGTCTGATGAAAGTTGTTGATGGAAAGTTGAAGGTGGCCTCTGAAAATCCCCGAAGCCTCAATCCAAAGGGCTTTCAGGTAATCAGCTTGGTGTTACTCTCTGTTCAAAGAATTGTATGTACTATAGATCATTTGAATAGAATTTATATACAATGCATTTATTTTTTTAGTTCTTCACAGACAGTTAAATTCTATATGACTCCTGGTGGACTGGCATATAAACATTGGTAGTGATATTCTGTTGGAGTACTTTACATGATTTATTGGGTCACCCCGCTAAGGTTGACTAATCTACTGTGCTTCATGAGCTTCACATGTTACCGATGATTAAAGCTGTGAACCAAGAAGGGCATCAGTTTTTTTTTTTCTGTCTAACTCACTGGACATCTCATTCACTTTTCTATACCCATCCTTTCTTTCTAATCTCTGTAGGAAACTTCCCAGCATCTGTGGTTTATATATTTTCACATTTGTTTGAATTTCTCATTCAAAGATTCAGGCTTAGCTGGCTTAGCATTATCAGCAAGCCCTTATATTTTTCTATCAGCAGACTGCCTTGCTCAGTAGCATTGTTATATTTTTATAACCTTACAGATATTAGATGGGCCATAAAATTGTGTGATTAAAAGATGCTCTGATAAACACTAAGTGCATTTTGCCACTGGGTTGGTGCCTCAGCAAAGAGGCAAGCATGAATATCTGTTTAGCTTTCAGTATGCTTTCTGAAAGCTATTCCAACAAAGAAAGGGAAAATGTTTATGAAATTAGTCAGTTCATCAGAAAAGCTCGAGATTACTTTGTAGACAGAAAACCAAAGCATTTGTCTGAATGCAAATCTAACGTTTCCATTCTTAAAAGGCAAAAAAAAATTGACGGATTTTGATCGAAGCCAGTTGGCTGATAAATGTGCGCAGTTTAAAGTTGCCAATGGTGGAGCGAGGGAGATTAACGAGAGTGAATTTTCTCAGCTTGAAAAAGTGAAAATTAGATTTATGATGTGGCGCCACAAGGCTGAGAGCTGCTCCATCACCAGATTTACGATAAACCCTAACAAGAAGGAAACAGCCCCTCCTGTGGTGGCCACACTTTATTGATAGACTTTTTTTCCCTCTTAAGCTATCCACCTTCACGACATTCAGCTGGACTCTGTTGCTGCTTCTTGCACCCCTGTTTAAAGCAAAGGTGTTTGCTCTTACTTCTAAACTCATTAAAATCCAAATATGCCGCTATTGGTGCATGCTAACACACTAAGGTCAACCTTAATCAGATGGCAGTAAGACATTTTGTTTAGATAGTTTTTTTATATATTAAAAGAAATACCTAATAATTGGATTTCCAATTAAATAAGTAAATCAGTATTTTTCAGTTATTAAAAATTCCTCTTCAAATAAAATACTTTAAAATAAATTCAGCCATTGCATTTACATAAATACATTAGGGGATTTAGAGAGTGTGTTGGTGTATTGCATCATTGGAGACTAAGTGACAGGTTGAATTAGAACAGAGCGGAATATGAAAACGGAAATGACAGAAATTGTCAGCAATATCCATTAATCTAATAAGAAGTTGTCTAACGGGGTGAAAAAGCACCAGCTGTCAAGCGAGCAATTACCCGGCCCTGGGACCCAAATATTGATCAATATGACTAATGTCTAGCATTAAGGCGACCAAAGGGGAGGTTGAAAGAATAACCCGTAGTCAGGATTACATAACAGATATTTGCATTAAATAAATCATAAATTTGTTCATCTTTTATGCCTGTTTAGTTATTTTAGGGTTGAAAAGGGTTACAGTATGTCCAAATTCAAAAAGTTTATTAAAAAGAGACAGGATGCACCCAACCCATCAGCAAGACAGAAGACACAGGAAACGCAACACAGACAATCTATCCCCCAAATTTTTTATAACCGTATAAGATTTAGCTTTATTGTACTTTTAATTTTTCCATCATGTTCTTCTGACAATAAAAACAATATTTCCAAGTTGCCCAGAAAGAATCTGGATTTGCAGGTGTTAATCCGACCTAGGGTTCTTGAGATTAGGGTGATGGCCAGGAGAGTTTTCAAGCATATTACAAAATCTGAAAGCTAAAATACCACTGAGAACAAGTAAAAAGGCTCGATTGCTACAATACCAATAAAGTGTTTTTCACAGATTATTGAAAAGGAATAACTGACACATTTTTTTAATGAATAAAACCATCTAACCATCCAATTTTCAGAAAAAAATCATTTAAAACATAATTTGCATGTTGTTTATATAATTCTATTTTTTTTTTTTTTCATCCTTGAAAGAGGTTCAGTGTAGTCAGATTAGGTTGTTATAAAGATTAAAATGATGTACATTTTAAATCTCCAATTCCGTTCCAACATTATCTGCTTGTATTGGGTTAAAAAAAATTCAATAATTAGATATTTATTAGTATAGTCTAATGCTCATCCTTCCTCAGAAATTTAAATGTTACACACATTTTCCCTCCACATTTCCCTATGCCATGTTTTTTTAGGAGTTGAAAGACAAGGTGAACCAACTGCTTCCCCTGCTCCCTGTGCTGGAACAGTACAAGACAGATGCTAAAATGATCCTGCGTCTTCGAGAGGAGGTGAGAAACCTTTCTTTGGTGCTTATGGCCATCCAGGAGGAGATGGGGGCCTACGACTATGAGGAGCTGCGGCAGAGAGTCCTGTTGCTGGAGACCCGACTGCACTCCTGCATGCAGAAACTAGGTATGAAACATGTGGGCTCGATGGCAGGGGACTTTTCCTACATATTTTCAATGATATTTTGTTTGGTATATAAAGAAAGTAGCTGTTCCCCAAATCACAAGTTCTTACCTCATTATTGCTAGATTATTTTATCATTGGTTGGAAAAGCCATTTTCTCATAACCAGTATATTATTTCTTTTTGAGAAATATATATTTTTTTTGTCTCACAAAGTAATAAAAGTTTAAAATTTGTAGTGCATTAGAGGACCAAGGAAGCTATTATAGACAGCAGTCTTGTTAATAAAACAATAGAATAGAATAGAACAGAATAGAATAGAATAGAATAGAATAGAATAGAATAGAATAGAATAGAATAGAATAGAATAGAATAGAAAGTTTGCTGCTGACAGTAAACTGGTTTGCTTTGCACATTAAGTATCACATACCCCCTACCTCTTTATATCTTTCATTAAATTTAGGGACCTCTGAAAATGTTTGTAGTGATATATACATATAAAAACTTCACCAGAATATAATACACCTTAAAATAAGTTTTAAATCATACACTGACATGTTAAGGTTTTTTTTATAACATTTTATGGTTATAAATAAAGATGAATTTATTCAAACCAATTTTCTTAAGAATTATGCAGTTTATCTTTGGCAACTGAGTAACTAAAAAAATGTAACTTAATAGAGCGAAAGAAAGATATTTTTAAAAAACGCAATTGTGAAAGTTTAAAATTAAGGAAGAGCAACAACAAAATTATAAGAAACATTAATTTTTACCTACTATAACAGGACAAAAAAATGTCTCGATATTTCAATGAAAAGTTTTAGCTTCCGTAAGTGTGAAAGTAGTATTTTTAAAAGCAGTCTTTCAGTCTTGAGGCTATTTGCATCTGGCATGCTGCCAACAATTTCTCTTATCTCAGACCTCCAATAATCAACCTTGGCAGAGGGCGGGGGGGTTGGATTTGGTGTTCTGAGAGTTACTATATTGATTGTTTTCTCATGTAACAAATTAAACTATAGTGATTCTACACACAACAAAAGAAAACTATTGATAAAGAGGAATTCAGCTCATTGGTCTTTCATTATGGCAAATATATTAAGCAACAACTAATTACCTTGAACTTAGACTTAGACTCAACTTTATTTATCCCTTGGGATTACTCCTGCAGGGACATTATGGTTCCAGTCGCTTACATAGGGTACAAAGAGTAAAAGCAGGATGCCATTTTCTGTGCTATGATTTCATTTATCGCCTATTAAAAAACAGGTAAAAAGATCGAGGCCTGCCAAACTTAAAAGGAACTTGAATACTATTTTTTTTTTTTTACATCACTTGTCCAGAGGCATGTATTTTATGTCCTTCTCTTTTTTGATTTGCAGGCTGTGGAAAGCTCACTGGTGTCAGCAATCCCATTACAGTGCGTGCATCTGGATCAAGATTCGGCTCCTGGATGACAGACACCATGATACCCAGCTCAGACAACAGAGTGAGTATTTCAGATCCTCTCTAGTTTGAGGCTCAAGAAGCAAATAATGATATAACCAAGAGCTCTAACAAAATCATCTAAACTCTTTGAGCTACTCAGTATAAAAAATAAAAAAAAAACACATCCACCCAGCGGAGCTGTCACTGTTAGTCAGTGAGTGATTGATCATTTTGTCCAAGTTGCACTTCTCATGAATACCACAATATGACAGACACAAAGAGAATTGCGAATTCGTAGCAGAGTCACTGATGAATTGCATCTATTTCCCTCTTGCCTGTCGTCCTCATTCATTACACACTGCAGCTGATTAATCACTCCATCATCAGAGGGGAAAAAAACAAAGAGCTGTTTGGGCTAAAGTTTTCTAAATTCACTTAAGTAATTATCAGAGGGTTGCTCTGCACTCAAACAGAACAGCCATGGGTTTTTAAACCTGAGATTTCATGTTAGGAGTATGCGAGTAGAGAGAGTGGAAAGAAATTGAACTATTAGCTATTTCTAGTACCTAACAGAAGCTGAGAAACTTTTATAGAGTGTATTATGTTGGCCTCTCTACAAATTGAATCACAAGAGGATAAATGGATGTTAGAAAAGGGCCTTATCAATGTTCTGAATGTTCTGATTATGTTTATGTTTAATCTTGTTTGCTGAGATTATGTTTCTCTTCCTACGAACTGAGTCGCCTCTTGCTCCATTAAGCGGCAGATACGTCAATATCACAGCAATTGTTACACTCTTATGTGAAAATCTTGCTTTGCAGGCAAATATATAAAAGCTATAAAGATAGTTAGAACGTGCCAGAGTTTTGGCCTGGCTCAGCCTCTTTCTCTTGCTCAGCTCAAGGGACTCATTCAGTAAGCATAGAAGAAACCAAGCTTAATGGTTTATAATAAACCTTGCTCCATAATTCATTTGCTGTAACACTCCAACACAGCTTATTCCCATTCCCCTCTCCTTTTCTGCAGAGTAAAAAGAGGTTATTCTGCACATATGAAAGCGCAATTAGACAAAGAAGAAAGAATCAGAGAAAACAATGAAAAGAGCTGCATCTTTCTAAAGGTGTCCTAGTTACATTGTGAACAAAATAAATATTTAATCCAGTAATAGCTTAATTAAATCATTCAAATGCTAAATTGTTTCTCCCTTCTGAGTGAATTAAAAGGGTGATGCAGCCACAGAAGCACAATGTCAGTGGAGGGATCTGCTGAGGGAGCTCGGGGAAAAAGAATAGAGTTGCTAAATGGATTGATTTTCTGTAAATGTGGACTGGAAAGGGCAGAGTGCGCAAGCAGTGGTTCCCTGCAAAGCACAGGCAACATCTCCCCCCTCAAACAGGAGAGATCGATAGATTTGAACACACACATTTCTGCATGCATGAAAAAAATACACTTACACCCAAACAAGTAGATTCACCACACACACACACTAATTCTTACTTTGCCCACGGCATTGCCTTAGGCTGTAATGAAACATCAAAGAGTTCCTGCAGATAGCTGCATCAGGTAAAACACACCAATAATCTCTGATAACCCTTGGATGTTTATATTAAGGTGTTTTAACTCAGTAGCTCCTCAGAATGTAATGCTTTTGTTCAAAGATTTCTTCTTTTTTTTGGACAGGTTTGGTCAATGGATGGATACTTCAAGGGGAGGCGTGTCCTAGAATACCGAACAATGAGCGATTTCATGAAGGGGCAGAACTTTGTGCAGCACCTGCTGCCCCATCCTTGGGCTGGCACTGGGCATGTGGTCTATAATGGCTCATTGTACTACAACAAATACCAGAGCAACATAATTATCAAATACCACTTCCGGTCTAGAAGTGTGCTTGTGCAACGCAGCCTAAGTGGAGCTGGCTACAACAACACCTTTCCTTACTCCTGGGGGGGCTCCTCTGATATTGACCTGATGGCGGACGAGAATGGTCTCTGGGCTGTTTACACCACCATACCCAATGCGGGGAACATCGTCATTAGCCGCCTGGAGCCAATGAGTTTGGAGGTCCTGCAAACCTGGGACACAGGCTTCCCAAAACGCAGTGCTGGAGAGTCTTTTATGATCTGTGGCACACTCTATGTCACAAACTCTCACCTTGCCGGTGCTAAAATCTACTTTGCTTACTACACCAACACATCAAGCTATGAGTACACAGATATCCCCTTCCACAATCAGTACTCTCACATCTCCATGATGGACTATAACCCTAGGGAGAGGGTCCTGTACACCTGGAACAACGGACACCAGGTGCTCTATAATGTCACACTTTTCCAAGTCATTAAGACTTCTGGAGACTGAGGGCTCAAATAAATGACCCACTCAAAAAAAAAAATGCTGTGATCATTGTTCTATGAGGACAAAGGAGCAAGTTAGAGATGGGTACTGTCTGGGGAAGGTATAGGATGGAGGTTTTAAGCTGTGGGCATACGCCTTGGGTGTTTTTTAAGAATTTAAATCTTCATAGAGTGCTATTATTCACATTCAAAAAATGTCCAACAACTGGGTTTGTAAAGACCTAATGACTGAGCGCTTCTCTTCTTTTCTTTATGTGATGAGTAAGCATGGTTCTTTTTATCTGTGATGACAAATAAACATCCACTTTAACATTAATGATGTGGTATTTTCTTAGTTGCCCTGTGTCAAAACAGCCCTGAAACTTTAAAGATCCGAATAAACAAGGTGACCAATTTAAAATGTGGAAAAACTACAATTAACAACTAGCAATTGTTTTTTATTTTCTAATTCTTGTCATATTCGGTGTTATGTAAATATTGGCTCTTGGAACACTGATAAAAATCATATGAAATTGTCAAAACAAAAAGGCAATTAGTAAAGAATGGAAGGAGAAAGTGCAATAGGATAGAATGAAGATTAGGGCACAACAAAAAAATATACGGGAAGGAGGGAGGATATAAGAAAGTATAAACACACAGTTTAGACAAAAACAGTGATCAATTTCCATACTTTTCCAGCCAGTGTAAGAATTTTGAAAGCTAAAATATGTTTTTCATTTTGCGAATAGATGTATTATTTTTAATGCCAAAGGAAACACGAAGGGAAATAATCTCTAGACACCCATAAACCATAACAACAACATTGCATCCATGTTAAAAAGCCATGACAAAGCTTCTGAGAATTCTAGGCCATAAAAAGTGATATGTCACCGACACAAATGTGGTCAAATTTAACAGCAACAGCCACCACTTAGATCTCATTTCACCAAGGTGAACTGAAAGTGAAAGCTGAACATGTGGTAAAAGGTGCAGGTGGCGGTGTGATGGACTGAGAAGAACACTGGGAGTTAAGAGGCAGAATGTAAATTGTGTTTACAGCTGAGCTGAGAAATTACACATTGCACTTAGTGTTCCTTGTCAAGCTCCAATCGGCTTTAATCTTGTTAGGCTCATACTTTTATTCCCTAGAGCTCTTTACAGAGAATGTTCAAACACAAGGCATGCACGGTGGGACAATGTTGGCATTAAAGTATAAACCGCCGACCTTTCATTGCAGGATTTTCATTATTTACTACTTTGATATATCTGAAGAAATATCCGTATTTTCTGCTGTAAATAAAAGAGCAGACATCATGTCCGCTGTGCTGTTATTTTATTACTTTTATGTTTCAAGCCTGTGAGGATGCAGCCATTTATTACAGAGGCCATAGTGGACCACAAAGACATAAATGTCATAGGAGGTCCCACTTTTCTTGTCCTTTGTAACCATGGTGATACTTTTCATCCTGGTTGACCTTTATTTCAGTAAGGGTTATTCTGTGGGGAAACTCAAATACATTACACACCCTAATGGTTGACATTTAAGGTATGACAAAGCAAGGGGATAAAGAGCAGTCAGCAATCAAAAAATTTTAAAGTTCTACTTAATTAGGTGTTTTTTCATGGTGCTAATCTATTAAAATAGCCAACTTCCTGATTTAGGATCCCTGTAAGAAACACCCAACTTTTTTCTTTTAATAATTTGATAAAATGCTGTCAGATGCAGAGTCCATCACATTTTCCTCAGTGAAATTTAAAAGAACTAAAGGGCAGTTTCAAATGATTTATCATCTAAACCACAGCAGACTGCAGCAAAACTTTAGTTCAATTAAGTGAGCATGGGAAGAATGTGGAGGTGAAGAACTCCATTTTAACTGGAAGGAGACTTCAGCATTACCTGGCTCAAAAGGCAGTTGGCATCTGTATAAACTAATCTTATAAAAATGTTGAAGAAAGAAATAGATATAAGACATTCCTGATGGGTAAAACTTTTACTCTTTGTGCGGAATTAGGTTCAGCACTGTTTGCTGTTACACAGCTACTGTAACACATTCAGTCAATGAAAACATGGTTCTCATCATGACAAGAGATTAGTTTTTTTTATTCAAGTTTCATTCTTTTAAGTTTGATTTACAGTCAAAATTGATCATGGTTGCCTACTAGTAAGTTTCAAGTGTTTCCATAATAAGCAGTTAGCTCAGCAACAAGACCAAAGAGTTCTCCAACATCTTTAAAAGATCTTAAAACACAAATTACATTTAATCCAAAGAATTCATCCAAATCTAAAATATTTATATAAACATATAAGAAAGTTCTTTAGGAACCAAATTCATCAAAAGAAGGAACATGAGGTATTTTTTATTAGTGTCATCGTCTTTTCACATAAGTCTGTGTCATGTACTTATGCATTTGGTTTATACCAGTGTCAGGTTGTGTGTTTTTTTTTTTTTAGAGGACCCAAATGCAGGGACCAAAAATAAAAAAAATAACAACAACAAAAAAATACAGAAAACCAAAAACCAGAAGACATCAGGGAAAACACACATGAGGAGCAAGGAAATGGCATGGAAGCAGCACTGAGAAACTGGAGCAGGAGTATAAATGGGAGACTGAGCAAAGACTGAGCTAATGAGCTGACAAGAAGCAGGTGTGGATGGAAGCATCTAGAAGGGAGCTTGGGGAAGGTAACTGACACAAGGGGGCAACAGAGGACTAAAAATTAAAAACAACTAGAATAACAAAATGGGAAATGAAACCAATAAAATCTCAAAAAGAAAACTTAAACAGAACCAAAACCATGACAACCAGGGTAGTCCAAAGTCCTGTCTGGGCAATTTGAAGCCCCTGGACTGGTTTTATGTGGCCTATACCCTCAATTCCAGAAAGACTTGTCCCACCAGAACTGCTGGTTGATGTAGAACAGTTTTTGAAAAGTACTAACATTTTATATAAACACCCCATCTACATATCGACTTTTACTCATAAGCAGACTCTAGTGCATTATAATTTGCTTTTAATGCAGACTTAATACAGTGAGCAATTTCAAAGAGAGAGAGTGACTAAAATTTCCTTTTTTTTAGACTATGCATGTTTTACAGTGCGTTTGTATAACTCCAAATTACTAAGGAAACTCAACATCTTTCTTAAATAAATGCATAGGTTTTATGGTGATATTCACATTTCTTCCCTACAAAAATCTAGCTGCTCTACATGAATCCTGTTTACATTTTCTGGAGATGGTAGAAAATGTACAGTATATGTATAGGCCGAACCATTTTTGTGATTGTAGTATTTCTCAAGTCATATTATTGTCCCACAAGTACTTTTTACTTAACCTTTTTGGCATTATGCAACATTTAACCACCCCTAATTTAGACGTATTGTATCCATCTCCCTCTGTGTTTTTTATGTTTATTTAGGGTTGGATAGAGCAGCTTAAAATGTTGTTAATTAAAAGTCGAATAACTTTATCATATCTTAGATTAGAAGAGATTAATCACCCAAACATTACTCAAGAGTAAAACAGTATTTAATTCTTAAAAACTTACTATTCAAATAATGAGTATCTGTGTGAGCATACCATAGGATTAAATAAAATGTTAGAAGAAATATGTAAAAGAAAAATACATAACATCATAACAAAATGATTAAAAAAACTGTTAGAAATATACATTTCCAATCTAAACATATCAAAACATTAAGCTTTTAAAACTAAGCTTTTTAATGCACTACAGCTAACAATAGTAGAGAAAAGTTCCTAATTCAAGTGATAGCATCTACTATTTTCAGTTTATTTACTTGACCTCCAAACAGCACAGCAGGCTCAGCAGGTATGAAATAATATTAGAGCAACCAAGACTGTTTACAGGCAATATACTATATCTAAGTTTAACCTAAACCTCAATGGAGTGTGGCACGCTTTAGTTAAAACATGTTTGTTCTTTTTTTCATTAAGTGACTTAAGGTGCCTAAAACAGTAATTGTGCTCTATAGTCATACCTCAAAATAATGCTTTTAAATCAGAACTAAAAAGAATTGTACACCAAAAGTAGTCTTTTGAGTTATTCTATTAAATGACAAAAACACAAATCTTTAGGGTTGTTCACCTGCTGCTGATCATTTGATCTTTCACTTCTCTTAAACAATTTGCACGGACGAAGCCCCAATATTTCGTCCAGCTTGCTTCACCCCAGCATTAAACAGGCGTGGCTTCTATCAGCTTGCCAGTTTATTTTGTTTGCTCAACCTGGTGGACCTCTATTTTACCCAGAAAATCACAGCGCTGTACGTTCTTTGGAAAGCAGAACAATGCAGGCTGCTTACCAGGGTCCCAAAAAGACGTGCTCAGTCTGGCAAGTACCACTACCTGCTACCAGTAACTGCAGCTGTATAAGTGTTTCCAGGGTTACTTCCATCTGTCAAGGACTCCGTATTAGTGGCCTCCTGTCTCCTATCTGGGAAGGGAGCACCCTCTGGTGAGTTTTTGAACGTTCAAAACATGTCCTTCATATAACCAACCATTTATGTTCTCCTGATCATGGCTTTACATATAGCTATGTAGATTATTTTGTTACAATTGGTGTGAATGCAACTTTATTTCAAAATGATACTCGTTATTGTAACTGAGTAAATCTTCTAGCTTCGATCGATTTCCCTGATTTTCTTCTTCCCCAGCCGCACTTACTTCCCATAATAGGTCTCATCTGGTTCTCATACCACTTGCCAGCTCTTGGTTAAAAGTGTTTCTATTTCCTTCCTGCCATACTTAGTGTTTGTCTTTGTCTGTTCAGCATGATCAATTGTTTGTGTCTGTTATCTTCCCACAATTTTCTGTTATTCTGTTTCTATTCACTAATGTCAGTTCTGCATGTCTGTGCCCTCCATGCCAGTTCCAAGTGGTTCAGATACTTCATTCTTTGATTGAAGTTATTTTGGGATCAAATCACTTTAACCTCTGTCCCTTTACTTGTCTATCAATGTTTTTGTCCTAACCTGCAAACATGACATTTACACCTTACAAGTCTTTTCAGAGACCCTTTTAAATAATACTAAGCCTGTTTATTTGGCTAGTTTAGAAGTCTATCAAGAGAAGGAGTCCATTTCATTGCCCATACCTTTTTTAAACATTTAAAGGCGAAAACACATCCACTAGGTCAAACTCTGACTAGAGACTCCATCATCTGATCCTCTGACTCACTCTTTTTGAGTAGTCTAGAGAGAGTAGGCAAGCCTCTGAGAAAAAACAAACTGGACTTGCTGCTTTGAAATTTAGAATTTAGACTTTTTTATGAGTTATAGGTTGGATATGTTAAAGTCTGTCTGATGGGCTGTTCACACAAATGCAAGCTTGGGTAATTAATGTTTAAACATTAGTACTGTATTACCACTCAGTTTAT